TGTGTGTGTGTGTGTGTGGTGTGTGTGTGTGGTGTGTGTGTGTGTGGTGTGTGTGTGTGTGGTGTGTGTGTGTGTGTGTTAGAGCGAGAGTGTGAGTGAGCGCGCGTGCTCCTGAAGGATCTGCTTCCTGCCAGGCGCCTGTCATAGACGTGGATGGCGGGAGCGTGGGCTGTTCGGGCAGCGGTGGTGATGAGACCGAATGCCCGCAGCAGGAGTCGTAACCGAACTTCTCGAAAAGGGCTCCGTCGAGCTCGACGACCAGCCTCGCCTAATACACAAGCGATTACAACAAGAATAAAAAGATTGTAAAAAAAAAACTGGGATCCTGCACGGATCTCCACATCTCCAGTCTGCATGGGTTGGCCGGGCGGCGGTCGCTTCGTCGAAAAAGGTCTCGCAGCCACCATGCTTGGACCCGCCATGCCCGCCGCTCGATGTACCCGATTGGATAACGGACTGCACTTTTGACCATTCCACCTGCACGCGGATCTGCGCTGGGGCTGGGGAAAGGAAATTTCGCTTCGTGGCTTCTGGAGAAGATGTCCGGGCCGGGCCTGGCCACCCAAGCTTTCGAAGTCTTTGAGGCCTCACGGAACAGCCGCTTGGAAATCTCTCAACCGGAAAACCTCCAAGGTCTCTGAGCTCCGAACACCCTGCGATATCGGCATCCAAAGATTCCGTGTGCATCCAGCAGTCAGCCAGCTCAGAAATGCTCGCGCTGCGGATCGCCTGTACGGTTTGAGCAGCCGTTTCTTCTGTCATGCCTCGCACCAGAAAAGCATTGTCGCGGATGTCCATGTCAGGATCTTGGGATAGGTACTTGCCGTAGAAGCGCCCACTGAGCAGTCCCAGCTTGACATGCTGGTGGCCCATGAACTTGATCCAGGCGCGAAATCGCTGCACATCCTCTGGGCCGGTGAAGCCGTTCTGCGAATCGCGGCCGACCAGTCGCTTGTGTGCCTCGGGGTCGCGCCGGCGCAGGTCCGCCATGACCCCTGCTCTTCTCTGGGCTTCAGACTGAAAGGCCCACAAGCTGAGATAAGACTCGCACGGGTTCCGCACAGATGCAAGCAAAAACTCGTCCTTTGCAACGCCAACGGCCCTCACTGCCTTCGCCTCGGGGATAACATTTAGCCTGTGCGCACCCATGACTTTAAAGAGATGAGAGATGGCATACCGGCTCCCGGTTTTCGGGAACCTTGCATAAGCAAGTCGCGACTTGCTACCCCTGCTGGGCTTCGCAGGCGCCAGCGCTGCTGGCGCTGGCACGGCTGGCGCTGGCACGGCTGGCGCTGGCGCTGCTGGCGCTGGCGCTGCAGTCTGGGGAGGACTGCTGGCTAAATCTTCGCTTGGCTCGGGGGCAGCTTGCGAGCCATATATGGTTTTGTTTGAGCGCACGGACGCGCGAGTCGCTTGAGCAGAATCAAGCTCCGCCGAGTTTTGCGGCGGATTTGGGGAGGCCACGCCCACACCGTCGGTCTGCACCAGCGGAATAAAAATGTCTCTCGAAGCTCCAGTAACGACGGATATGGGGCCGCCCTGCGTGTAGAGCAGAAACACCAGCCACATTGCAACGAATAAGGTGCCAATAAAGGCACGGGCGATGTGGGTCAACATGCCCGTGACTTCGCGAGGAAAGAATGACAATAGACCTATTTTCAAAATCCCAAAGCTTGCACTCTACTTCCGACATGTTGGGTCTCCCTAACCTCCGCTGTGTCTGCCTATCTGTTCCGCAGATGGCTGCCTTTCACTGGTACAAAGAGCTTGGGGCCTGAGCAAGCATTCCACAGGACCCGATTAGGACAGCTAGCAAGGCTCCCGACTCGTCCGGCGCTCAAAATTCAGTCGCTCGAAACCTCGGAAAGCATTTCGCACTCATGCGCCGATTGGGTAAAGGCAAAGACAGCCTGCCTTCTCGCACCCCGAAACTCGGGAAGTGTTGCCCGAGAGCTGCGAGCCCCGCGGCAGCAGATATAGTGAAAGGTACGTCTACGTGGTCATGCCCGTCATCTGCGCTGGCCAGTTGGAGATCACGGTGCTGCGGCGCAGGACTGAGGGTCTATGGTTCTGGACAAACCCTCAAGATGCTGGGGAATCGAGACATGTGCGCCCAATGGAAGCCAGGGAAGCACGAGAATCCAAGTCCCAATCCCAGTGCAAGCCCCGGGCCCCGTCAGCTGAGCCTGGAACGGCTTCGTTGGGTTTTAGAGAGAGGTCAAGGGCGCGCATCTATGGCACAAGCACGATAAGGTAGCACGGCCCTGCCAGACCAGGGCTACACAGACAAAGGGGCAGTCAACACACGTGCAGTCAAAGCTGTTCAGTTGGTAGTTCTGTCGCTGCTTCTGCTGGAAGCCGCAGCATGCGACAGTGCCGCAACTTGTCGTTGCAGCTCCTGTGTTTCCTTTCCCTCCTGCTTCTCTGCCCTGTCCCTGACGAAGCACTTCGGGGAGCCATCTTTATCTGGCTTGAGCATTCCTACCGGGCCATACCAGGTGGAGCCTTGCACTACTACCTGCTTCGTGGTACGACTTCAGTATGCAGTATCCGAGGACATCTCAGCCTTGACCTGCACGCATCAGCACGTCATGGCTGCACTCCTCGAATCCAGAACCAAAAGCCGCCCAATGCTTTGATGGGATGTTTCAACAAGATGCATCCGGCTACACCCTCCGCCAGGCCTCCAGGTTCACAGGAAGGCTGCCGACGCCAGCTGTGGTGTCCACGCGGCCAAACACGCCTTCTGCTGGGGCACTCGACACGTAGGGTCTGGGCAGGGTCCGACACGCTCCAGTCACCGAAAAGAAAAATGTCAACCGTTTCACCCAGACATGCACCAGTGCGGCTGATCTCGCAGCTCGCCTGCGGCTATCGTGATGTCCACCGGCTTGCCCTTGCACTTCTGCATGTCGGCACCTGAAGCAGCATAGCCACGAAGCAAGGAACGACTCGAAGTCCGGAACCAGCCAGAAAAGGCTGATTGGTGGTGCAAACAGGCTCCAGGTTGTCAAACCCTGGCAGGTCCGTGCTTGAGGCACCCAGTGAGAGGCAGAGGTAGTCCGTAGGCACATCCCCGACGATGGTGACCTCGACTGTCAATGCATCTTCCATGCAAAGCTGGGCCCAAGGTAGCCTGGAGCTGGCTCCCATCAATGAGGACTCGGGACGTGTCGGTCACCTCACGGAACTTCACGGAAGAAATCGCTTCGACTCGGGGCGGTACTGCTGACTAGGGACGTCGTAGTTCTGCGAGGCTTCCCCGAGGGGCGTGAGCACGATGTTGCCAGTGCCCCGCAAAATCTGCTCGGCGAAGGTCAGGACAATGTCGGTATCTGGGAGTGGAGTTGCGGCACCCACAACGTACGTAAGTCAGTGTGACTGCTGCCGTCTTACCCTGCAGAGCACGCAGCCAGAACTCACCAGTCCCAGTGGCTGATGGGAACACCGTAGGTTCCGATTGCAGGGGAGTAAGACGTGATGCCTCGGCGCGAGATGCTGCAGCTCCCATGGACAACAGCGCGTCAAATTTTGGACCAAAACTCACAGCCAAGGCGCAGGATGTCCACCAATCCTGCAGCTCTAGGTCCCAATTGTTGACTCATGATCCTATCGGATATTGGCTTAAGACCTTTCAGTGGAAGAACAAGCTTGTTCTGTCCCTCTCTCCGTGGACTTGGGCGTTGGGGGGTCGATGACTAGGCTGCTAGATCGACTGCAGCTATTACATGTCTTGCTGCCTGATACAGGCCGCTTTTGGGCTTCAGCAGACCATCCGAACTCTGCCACTGCACCAGCCATTTCTCATTGCAGCACAGTGTCGTAATTGCTGGAGCTGGGCAGAGCAGCTGCGTAGTTTAGATTCACCGAGGTGTCCGTAAAACACTTTGCAGCAAAGACGACCTGGTACCTGAGTCCATTCGTGAGGTCCAAACAGCGACATGCAAGAGTGGGTTCTGCCAGTCGCCTTTTGTGCCGGGTCACTGGCTGCAGGGCAGGATGGGGAAGGCAGTTGTGTCGATGGTGATGGTTGCGGAAGCGCCTGCGATGTCCCAGTCCTAACCCCATTGCTGCATCCATGATCTAGACATAGCCTGCCGCAGACAGCGACCAGAACTCAATGGAGCAACCCATCTAGCATCTAAGACCCTACGACATACCTCCAGGCGCACCTGACACGGTGATCTGCGCGTCGCTGCACTTCGGGGCTACCGAGAAGGGCGTCTGACGCTGGTAGGGATCCTCCCGACAACTTCCGAGGGCTTGAGACATCCCCAGGAAAAGCATGAGAAGCATGACGCCCGACAAGAGAACACCCTGAGCTTGGCATTGTCGTGCGGCGGTCCTGGATGCCCCAGGTCGGTGCAGTGCCGGACACATCCTCAGCTAACAAACATAAAGGTCGGTATCGGTTCTCGCTGGCGTGCAAGGTTCTGCCGATAAAGCCACACAAAGCCGGCTCTCTCTTGACGCCAGGGTACAGGGTTTGCCTGGATATCTTCGGAGAAAGTGAAGACCTTGGCTGCAGCTGTTCACGGAATTCAGCAACACCGCAACATAGCAGGGATTGCACCGGCTTCATGGAGATTCTCTGTGCATTCTGTGACATTCTGGGCCTCAGTTTGATGGCTCGCTCTGAACGTTGCCGCCCGGGGACGATGGTTGTTGTTACTGGCACGTTGGGCGACTCATCCGCCGGCGACATGCTCAGCAGCGTTGGAGCTGTGAAGTCGCCTCCGAGAACTGCTGTAGGTTGAACATTTTCACACGCAGAAAAGAACCAAGGGTGTCTTTATTGTCATGGTTCTGACGGTAGCAGGACTTCGCACGGGACGTGTTGGCCTGTGGTGAACTGGATGGAAAAGGCTGCATTGGTGTCCGTCATGGCCAAGTTCTGGATGATGCCCGCATCGAAGGAAAGGATGTACACCGTTTCCTGCCAACGTTAACATCAAAAACCAAGAACAACGCTCAGCCGTGCAAGCCACATAGTTCGAGCCGAGAGCCTCTGCGAATACGATTTGCCGGCCACCGGCACTCGAGGCATCGTTCAGAAGAAGAGACTGGCCGCTGATGACTACCTGCGTGAGTCGCAGACCCGAGTAGCATGCGCAAACTACAGTACATTGCTGGCACGGAAGCATGAGAAATCATGGCACCAAGATACATCGCTGCTTGGCACAGATATCGTGGTTGCAGAGGCACTTGATGCGCCAATCCCGGAGATTGCAGGTTGTATTGTTATGTAGCCGAAGCTGGCTTGGATGTTCTCCTTGGCTTGAGCAGTCCGAAACAGCAACCTGTCTGTAGCTGCACCTGCTGTAGTATGGACTAGAAGACCTTCTCAATCAATTGTTGCCCTCCCAAGCGTCTGCGAACTCGATCTCCACGATGGAGTTGGTCCGGACATTCTGGTTGTTGTTGGTCCATGCTTGCGAGTCCTGATGAATGCAAGCGCTGTAAGTTCAAAGGCATGCAAGCACCGCACCAGTCCTGCACGTCCGAGCCATCTGGCCAGCTGACGTCCTGGTCAGGTATTGCGGAAGCACCTATGGCACGACAGTTTAGCCACGTCTTGGCAGGCACTGGTCAACCTGGGATTCAATGGAGCTGCAAGTGGCAAACTGTCCTGGAGATGCGTAAGCGACACCGTCCTCAGACAAGCTCAGGGCTTCAGTCACGCCTACTTCGAATGGCAGCTTTCCTGCACACATGAAGGCTTCGCAGTCTTATCCAATGCGCCCGAGCCGCTGAGTTTTCAAGAATTGCTGCTGCACATCGCCATTTGCTAGCCCCAACCACAGGGCAAGGAGCCTGGGACACACACGGACACCGAGGCATAACATACACACCAAAAAACAAAATAAGAAAGCGGAATCCCAAAGCGTTCACATCTGTGCCTGGACCACGCGATCTGCCCTCTCGTGCCCGGCGCCATTCGGGCGCCGAACCCGACGGCCTGAAATGCGTCGCAACGTCGCAACAAAGATCCGATCGCGAGGCGGCGGCGGGATATTTCTGCTGGTGCCAGTCAGGAAGCATTCAAGCCACTTCAGCGAACCCTACAGATTTACCACACGGCCTCACAGCACCCAGGCTGCCATCAGGACGAACACAGAACAAATCGATCTAGGTCAAGGCGTGGGCAT